GATGGAGGAGCTGCCTCATAAGGAGAAACTGGACAGATTGAGACTCTTGCATCTGTACAGAGTAGTCTGAGGAGGATGTGATCGAGATTACAGAATCACCAGATCCCATCATACCTGAACTAAGAGTCGCTCACTGAAACTGCTGGGGACTGATTCAGCAACTCCATCTGCAATGGACTGCAGATGGTGGCTGGGGTTGCGTGATCTCCCTGTATTGCACCTTCTGCTGCCACTGTGGGAATCAAAGTCTCGGGCTAGAGGGACCACTGGTCTGAACAAGCTTGGTATTATGTTGTTAAGGTAATTCTGGCAAGATATGTGTTTTATAAGGGCAGCTATTTGTATTTGTGTGCATCTGAATATAAACTCCCCCATTCAGGAATGGACCATACTATTTCCATTTCTTTTGTTTTGAATGTACTTTAAAATCCTTTAAACTTTGCTGCTGCCTTCATAGATTGGATTTTTCCTTCTTTAGTTTCCTTCGCAAATTTTCTAGCCTTTCTGATTTCTAGTCAGTATGGATTGATAATAGCTTCCTCTTTCCCCCCGCACCCTGTTTGTTATGCAAAGCTTTTAAAGTTTCACTTTGTCATTAAGATACCTGTCTAACATGAGTGGGATGGATCACTGCTGAGAAGTGTTTATTTCTCCATTGCCTACCAAGGGAGCTTAGAGAAATAGCTTAGACTAAAAACTTAACTTTCAGGTCGCTAATGCTGGGTGAAATTAATTTGGCCCAACTACATAAAATGCCACCAGGGATTATCCACTGTTTGTTCCTATAAGATCTAACTGTGTTGTAACCACTGTTCCTTAGCCAATCACTAACCTTCAGTGGTGTGGATAATTCAGATTATTTTGCATAAAGCAGTACTGTAGTCTATCAGTGTATTAAGAATTTTCTGATTTCCAGTTGCAAGTAGTTTTAAAAAGTTAAGTGTCCTGAACGTAGATTACTACCGTAGCATAACATCATTATATCCTTTAAAAATACTGCTCTCATTCAAGTCAGGCTAAATATTTGCATTGGGAATACTGACTGCTGCAAGACTAAGGAGGGACACTGGGGGAAAGACATTGTAATCTTGGTCTATATCTTGCATTCTTTTTCTAAGTATCCTCTGCAGATTGCCGTCAAAGACGGCACTAGAGTCAAGAAGCCTTTGCTCTGGTTTGGTACAATTCTACTTTCATTGTTAGTTAGATGTCCATGATGTCCACTATGTCAAATCATGAAGAATTTCTATCTGATTTATCTTCAAATCCTTAAGTTTGGGAAGTAAACTACTGCTGTCTTCCCTTTGACATGATTCAATTCAATTTGTCTGTAACATGGTGAATTTGTGTTTCTGCTAGATCTGTCTTTTTGTCACTTTTTCTTTTTTTAAGTAGTTTTATATCTTCTTGTCTGTTCTGATTATTCCTATCTGAAAAGATTGGCCTTATTGTATGAAGACCCCCATTTATAGTGTTGCACAGGGCCAAAGCCCTCATTTTTTCACTGGTTGTACAGCCCACCATTCATCTCTGGTATTTTATTTCTTCTCTTGTTTGTGGGCCTGAGAAGGCCACCAAGAAGATCATTTAGAATTTCCTTCTCTTCAGTTCCTTCCAAAATCCTTTAAGTCTCCTATAATTGGTTCCAATATATGCCACCTTCATCTGAGCGATGACAGATGACTTACTTTATATTCTCCATTCAAACTTTCTGTTAGATTTCCTATTTTTGGTCTATGGAGACTTAATTTCTTTCATTGTCCTCATTTATTTCGAGCTCTCACTTCCTGATTTCTTTAAGACTCTTTAGACTGCATTTTTGGCAATCATAGGGCCACTAAAAAAGACTTTACAAAAGGTATTAAAACTTTTGAAACCCTCAAGGCAGATGGGTCTCTCTTCAAACCTTGTGATTTATTCTGCAGAAGAGGCAGAATAAGCAAACCCCTGGAGTAGAAGCAGGGGTTAGTCACTGTAAGAGAAAACCAAATCCAAACAGTTCTTTTAATGAGCACAGGAGACTTAATGTATGTCTTCATTGTTTGAGATAACACACTTTTACTTCTGAGCAGATCACGTAGCTTCTACTGGCTATTACTGAGAAGTAGTTCATTTTCTGGGCAGTATTTATGAGAAAGAAAGTGAGTTATTTTATATATTGTATTTTATTTATGCATTAGTTCTATGTGTTTGTTTAATTTCAGGTGTAGCAGCCTGAAAAGAGAAAGCATTCAAACATCTGACAATCTGTTAGGGTAATCCCAATTCATAAATATCCAAAGTAAGAAAGGTCACTTTCAGAGCAACTTGATAAACTCATTACAAGCTGATACTTTAGAGATTTTCAAGGAAATAGCCTCTCAATATACTATATATATTGGATAAATATCCAATGGTAGCATTAGTACCTTTATAACCTGCACAGCCCAACAGATTACATCTTTAAGGCAAGCCGCGAATCTGTTCTGAATGTGAAGCTGTATTCCAGAAAGTAGATCTTCAGCTGGCTGAGTGGATTACTTCCATTCGTCCAGTAGGAATATATAGCATAATAGAAAAATAGTTTTGGTTTCTGGTAAAATTTCCTAATTAAGTCCATGTCCAGTAGTGAGTGAATTTGATCCTTGTTGGAAACAAAGGAAAATAATTTACTGTAGGACTTGCCAGTAATTAATTAGACCAACAAGCCATGCACATTCATTTTCTCTCAGTTCAGAGGAAATTATTTCTTCCTGACTCATGCCATCAAGTGACAGTTGCTTGAGACTTCACGGAGTAATATGGAGGACATCTCTTAGCCCAGTGGTGATCAGTTTATACTCTGAAAGTTGTTACTGATTACACTTTTAAGTTAAAGGTAATAATGAAACAGGTCATAAAATTATCCAGCTTTTAAAAAATATACAGAGGAAATATGTGACTGTCTGTCCAGTTGCAGTAACAACAGAGGGCAACAGATCTTCAGTTGTCATAGATCCACAGCTGAGACCGAGTTATGACAATTTACACAAGTTCAGTTGCTGGATCCCTGTGGTAGATTTTCCTCCTAACTTGTCTCAATTATTCCTTGCTCCTCTGTAGCCGAGCAGCACATTACAGCTGTTACTTTGAGCAAAGAAACGATCTTTTCAACAATCATTGAAACAACTGCATCAATATTTCCTAAAGCAGTCTCGGTCTTGGGTTTCTGCAGGATGGGAGCCTCAGAAGGCATTTATTTGGCTTCTCGTCCCTGTAGTCCCTCCATACCCGCTCTCCATTAATACTGTGTGGTAGGTACGGTGGGAAACCTATGTCATATGACGTAGCTGTAGAGCTGTGCTGCCTCCAGACCACGTTTCTCCTTGAAATCATGATACGAAGAGGCCTAAATCTGATGGCAGAGCATTGATTTGCTCAGGTGTTGCACCCAGGAAAGGGTATCACCTATGTACACTGAGATGCAGTATTATTTCCTGAGGCTCCTCAGGCCATAGGAACTGCAGCATCAGGCAAACTCTGCCAAATTCACTACCCAGTGAGTGTAACAAAATGATAGGTCTCGTTTCATAGGTCTCAGAAAGTCTGCCTAGAACAAATCAGGGAATCCTCTCTAAACCAATGCCAGAACCAAAGTGTCATTTAGAAATAATAATCTCACAAGCTTAGACTATGTAGTTTATTGACTATAAATGGCTTGGTTTAAGTGTGGTAAGCCTACTGTATTTACTCTGTTAGATGACTAGTGCTTATTAATTTCAGCTGCTGATCCCCTAAACCTGCGGATGAGCTCTGTAGACATGGGGTTGAATAAAGCTTTGCTATTATAAGCTGAAGTTCTCTCAGATTCACACCATTGAGATAATTATTTTTCATAATGTTTGGAGAATGCCATCCAGAAAAACCATGTGATGTAACAGGCAAGTTTTATCTGTTTTATTATTTGAGCTCTGGAGGAGGTCAGATCAATGGCATCAATACTTGGACTGTGGCACCCATTTTATTATAACAGTGCTTCAGCTTGGTTTGTGAAGACAGTGTTTGCGAAGAAACTGCCTGTTCCAGTGCAAATTCTGTTTCCCCTGAAGCCATTCTAATATTCACTTTACATCACACAGAAAAGTACAACTAATAGAAAAAAGGTCAAAGTCAGACAAAGTAAGTGAATCAAGCTGTCTTACATTAGATTTCTGGGTATGCCTCACGAGCACAGATAGGTGCCGGTGGCTGGTTCATGCAGATTTGTTGACTATTTCAGTTGAACTTAAGAGGTGGATAGTTGCCTTTTATTTGTAAAAACACAGCTGAGGAAACTGATTTTTTAGCAGCTCCTTTGCTACAACTGCACTTTGAAGTATTCTGTAGAACTGTCTTTAAAATTAGTAACATTCAGAATTGCTGGTTTTAGTCAGACTTTGTATGAACGTGCATCTGTCTGTGTATATATGTATATATGTCTATGTAAGATTTCTGTTAATTTTAATTTTTCAGTAATATGATGTTCAAATGCAAGAGCAAAGATTGAAGATGTGACTGCTTCCACAGTGCTTATATTGTATAAATAAGCCATTAACCCCAAATTCAGCCCTCAGTTACCGTGGAGCTACTGTATTAGATGAAACTGTCAGTTGTGCTTGGATCCTTTAAGTCTTCTTAACTCCATGATAGTTTTAATCCACTGATACATGTTTGAATGCAATCCCGCCTCATTTTCAACATAATTATGGCATGATCATCTGAGAGAAGTTTGTAAAAGCTTTTCCAGCAGCTCTCAGCCAAGATCCGTTTTCATTTACACCTGCATGCCTCATTAATGTCAATTGCTTTGCAAAGATTAAATCACTGTCTAGGTTGTTATACTAAGTTCTTCAGAAGGAGTGAGCTGGAACTCTAGAGTTCAATGAATATTGGGGATATAGCATGGTTTTGCTCATTGTAAAAATGTGTTGCAAGCATGCTAGAATCTGAATGAATCAGACTACATTGCTACCTTGTGTCTTTCATCTTTCTGTTATGTATAGGAGAAATGGGGGACAAAGGACAGAAAGGCAGCATGGGACGGCATGGAAAAATTGGTCCTATTGGTTCAAAAGGTATGCTTACTTCAATTGTTTCTCCATTTGTGTTTCAGATGAAAAATCTGTCATCATTTATGTTTGAGAAAAGTTTAAGGGCTTGAAAAATGGTTAACAAGTCTTAGAGTTTACCACAACAGGGAGTTTCTCACACTGTAGTCAGCCACATGACTGACATCTCTCAGCCAGTTACCTTTTGCTCTGACAGCAGTATATTTAGCCTTAAACCAGGGTGAGAATCCTGGTTTAAGGCTAAATAAAGAACTTTGTGCACCATCACACAAGTGTGGACAGTTAAGAGAAGCAGATGGGAAGTTGCACTGTATTTTGGCAGACTTTTAAGAGCCAGAAGACTTGTATTCTAATCTTTCCTACCCCTATAGGCTTCCTATGTGACTTTGGTTAAGTCATTTGAACCAGTGTTTACTCAAGCATCTAGATTATGAATCTAGATTTAGGCACCAGTGTAGCATATCCAGCCCTTTTCCCTCTACAGCATCTGAATTTCTGTGAAGTACATGAATGTCAAAAAAAGGATATCGATACATATTCTTTGTGTTCAAATTTCATAGCTTTGTCTGGCCTTTATTGTGGAACAACTATGATAGAAAAATCTTTATTTTTGCTTGAGCATATTTCTACTTTCCACATTTGAATGTTACTAGAGAAAAAATCAACAAGTGCTAAATGAACTGTTGACCAAAAAAGCTGCCTTAAATTTATATTCTTTTTCATGTCTTTAGGTGAAAAAGGAGATAATGGTGACATAGGACCACCAGGTCCTAATGGTGACCCAGGTAATCCATGACACACCTTGTATATGTGAAGGATTTTACAAGATGCATGCATCATCACCAAAAATACATGTCTGTTTACATATGGGGGAAATAATGAAAAATTAAATATTTGTATAGGTACTGTAATATTTCACTGTAATATTTTCAAATTACTTAAAATTATTGACGCTGCAGTAGTTGCGGGACTTGTAGTATATTTGTTGAAACATGTCTCAGAACTCCTCAGAGGTGTGATCACTCCAGAAGACTAGCAGGAACTGAAGTGCAACCATCCGTATCATTCATCACCAGGGCAAAGGGACATCTCTTCATATCCCACTATGGCTCCCAGCCAACACAAAGGAGCAGGTTGGAAGTTCCTGCCCTTCCATGGATTATTGTCATAGGAGCAGGAGATTACCAGAAATACAGATCATCCAGAGAAAAAGGTGAAAGCCTGGCATAAGAAGTGTAAGCCTTACAAAAGTGGCAAATTCAGATTTTACCCAATTTTTCTCTTCCTGGCAGGGTGCACTAGGGGTGCACCAATTAGTTTTCTCATGAGAACATACTTTGTCGCTCTAATTCTTGAGCCAGAGTACCATATACCTAGTCATCAAGCACAGTTTTGCAGTGTAAGTACCCTGTGCTTAGACTGACTTAAGAAACCTAAGCTGAGTAATTGGGTAGTCAAATGCAGATTTGAATAATTACACACAGAACTGGAAACCATAATTGATCCTCGTTTTGAGATTTGAGCTCATAGATGTAACAATTATCCTTTTAGTATTCTCATTCAGATTATCTTTGTCAAACCAAAATCAATTTGGGTTAATAGACGGTTTTCTATTGTCTTATTTTATTGGAAGAAGTACCATAAATTCTGTACTTTCAAAAGTACAGAACTACATTTTGCAGGTAATTATGTGCATTACATGGTTGGAACATTAGCCTTTTGGATCTGCTGTGTTATGTTCCTTGTGAGGAGCAGGCGCAATGTGCTGTGCAGATTTTTGCTGTGGAAAAAGTGCTCTTTGGAGAAGACTGAAGAGAATAATTTTACTCAGAGTGGGAAATTTTAACAAATGCTTTTAGTAAAAAAAAAAAATCTGTTTTTTGGGTTTTTTTTTGTTTTTTTTTTTTCCCCAGGGAATATCTGTCTGTGTTTAGGTTAGCACTAATGATGCAGGGCTGAAGCTTCATGGGAAGTGAACTGAGCTGCTCTGGATAGGCTCAGACACCCATGAGAACCATACGATGGTGCAGGGTAGCAAAGGCTCTAGGTTTCTGTCTGTTATTTGCATATATTGTCCTGAAACCAGGACAAATTGTTTAGATAATTATTGAAATTAGCTAGCTTTTTTGATTTTGGTGTATTTGTATCATTTCACAGGCATCCCCTGTGAGTGCAGCCAGCTAAGGAAGGCTATCGGTGAAATGGATATCCAAGTGGCCCAGCTGACAACAGAACTAAAATTCATAAAAAATGGTAGGTTAATTTTATATAAATATTTTCTTTTCTTGTTGCTTCATTTTACCGGTGTAATTGCTCGTAGAGAGTGTCACCGTTCCGCATCTGATTTGTGAAGCTATTTTGGGGTGTACAGTAACTTGGTTTATAGAAATGCGAGTGCTCACTTTTCAGCACTGCCCTCCCCCGCAGCTGTTGCTGGTGTGCGTGAGACAGATAATAAGATATATCTGCTGGTGAAAGAAGAGAAGAGATACAAGGAAGCCCAGCTCTACTGCCACGGAAGAGGAGGGACCCTGAGCATGCCCAAGGATGAGACTGCCAACAATCTCATCGCTTCGTACATCAACCAAGCCGGGCTCACCAGAGTTTTCATCGGGATTAACGACCTAGAGAAAGAGGGAAATTTTGTCTATTCTGACCGATCGCCCATGCAGACCTTCAACAAATGGCGCAGTGGGGAGCCCAACAATGCTTATGATGAGGAGGACTGTGTGGAGATGGTGGCTTCTGGAGGGTGGAATGATGTTGCTTGTCATATTACCATGTATTTTGTGTGTGAATTTGACAAAGAAAATGTCTAAGCTTGTCTGCTCTTTCTTTTTTTAAGAAAAGTTTTTAAGCCGATTGTACAAGTTACCCCATGTTTATAGAGTACAAGTGATATTTTGCAAGTATGTGGCATCAGTGTTGTACAGCTGTAAATACAATTTAGGTATTTCAAATATCAGTATTTACCCTTCAGAAGGGAAGAGCAGTGATAAGACATAGCTTGTTTTTTCTGTAGGAAAATATATGTAGTTAGATAAAAAGGTGGTTTGGGGCTAAATTCTGCCCTCACAACAGTTAACAAATGTGATTGCATGACTGTAAGGGAAGGCAGAATTTGGCCTCTAGTTGTTAGAATGATTATTTCTGAAGAAGTAGATTTCTGATATTCTTTTATCTTAGCAAAATTTGTAGTTATAAATGTTAATTGCTTGTAGTGCTATAGGGATGTTTCAGCAACAAGGCAAACATTTTGTATACTCCAGGTAGTAATTACAAATATTACTGTAAGTTTTTTGGATGTGAAGATGTTACAACTTTTTTTTTTTAAAAAACAGCCAAAGCAAACCAACAAATCAGGAATCCTACCAATTTTGTAATCTTTCTTTATTAAACTGTTCACAGATGTATGACAAGGAGGCACTTGAGTAAACTGTGTCTTAGTGCTGAGGGAGGATAAAGTTCTTATAATTTAGTACTGAAAGAGGGATCCCAGCCCGATGGGTGTTTTGGTTTTGGGGTTGGCTAAAGGTAAAAGTAGGATTTTGATTTTCTGCATTCTTTACCTGAGAATGATTTAGTGCATCAACTGTTTGAGGCCCCAAATAATTTCTTAAAGTAAACGCATTTCACATTTGTATAAGATGATCTTGGTGCATCTTGTTACAAAACAAACAAAATATCAGCCCTCCACAATCTAAGGCAGACTTCATAAATATACAACAAATCTTGTAAAAATGGTTTCACTAGTAGTTCCTTTTGGTAGGGAAATGGCTTACATGTTTACTCAGATTGTAAAGATGAGCCACTGAAAAGCAGCAAAAGTTTCCAAAATTTTCCTGGTTATGTATATAGAAGTAATAAGTAATTTTTCGCAAATAATTTATGTACCAAATTTACAATTGCATGTGATGGAAAATGTGGTGTATATTTAAAAAAACCAACAACATAATTTCACAAAGGAAATTATTAATTAGTTTGGATCTTCATAGGAGCCAGTTACATGACATCTTATCTTGCTGTTAGGCATAGAAAGATGACTGCAAAATCTCTGACTGTGTTTTTTCAGGAATACCTTGCAGAGTGTTTTAAGATTATTTTTAAGGAGAAATGATCCTTTGTATAACATAGTAATCAAAATACATACCTGATCATTATGGGAGATTGGTCTACAGGATGTCCACAGTGGATATGGCATGTGGTTCCAGAGATTTCCCTACAGCAAGGCAAGACCAACTCATATCAACTCTACAGTGCTGTGGTATATAAACTATCAATGCCCATACAATTCTGTTCATATCCACAGAGTCTGACAATATTTGATGTGATGCTATCATTATATACCTAAGAAAAGAAACCATTTTGCTTGCTATATTTACTCTCTGAATTTGAATCCATTATTGTTTGCTATTAATTTTGAAGACCAGTAGCAAATTCCTATAGTATTTGAATATCAGCCCAGGTCCAGAGCATCACTCTAAGAAATGAACACTCCTTTGATTGCTTTACTTTCTAATAAAGGTAGGTATGATTCCTATATGTTAGGTGTTCTTCCAAGTGTATACTGAAATCTATTAAATAATGTGAATATGGTTCTATGCTAATATTCAAAGACTCTTTACAGAATTTGCAGGGAGCTAACAATTCCAGTGGAGCAATTTGTTTGGTTAGAATAGCGCCTTTTGAGTATCATGATTGTTTCCTGCCTGCTATAGAAATCCTCAGAAACCATTTAAATCCCCAACATACTTTTGTAGAATCGTTGTAGCTATATTAAACCAGTCCAAACCTGAGTTACAGATATCTAGAGCTCCCTCATTATGTATGTGCTGAAGTTGCTAACTGTTTATTTTTCACCCAGGTTTTGAAAATCTCTGTTGTAATGTTCGATTTCCTCAGAAACATGAAAAGAGGCCTTTTGAGGAGGTGGGAAACTTTTTCAGATGCCAAGTGCTCCTATTTTAGCTGGAAGTCACACCACATTTATAAAGATTGCCTTGATGTGTAGAGCATTTAAGCAGTTTCAATTTCTATTAAAATTTTAGATGAAAAATAAAGGCAATGGAAAAAACCATTTATTTCCCCAGTTTTCATGTTCTTCAGGATATATTTTTGCAGCTCTTGATATACGAGATAGAAAGGAAATTAGTTGTATTGTCAGAGTCCTGTACATTGGCTGCACCAGTCCTTGTTTTCACCATTTGGGTAAGGAGAACAAGGCTAGTGTGTAAGGTCTCTAGCTGTCCTGCAAGGAGCAAAGAGTGCACATGTGATATTTACCGTTGCGAGGAACAGGGCAAGAAATGATGACTGGAAATGAATGAGCCCTTCAGCATTTCTCTCACCCGCCAGTTGCTGACCCCCATAGGTGGACCCTTGCTGGAGGCAGAAATCAATGTTGCATGTAGCGCTCAGCCTGCATGAAGCCTGCTGATGTGCATGGTAAGATTTCCATTACTCTCAGTGGAATTTGGAGCTATTGTTTTAGGAGAAAAATCAAATGATAAGTTAGTTTTATTTGGTGTATTTTCCATGTGCTTTAAAACCTGCACTGTAATATCATTACTCCTTTTGTGTGGCTCTGTGGAAGCCTTTGGAACATGTCTGCCTGGCAAGCTGGCACTGAGGTTTCCCAGACTCTTCTTACATGCTTTACTTTTGATGGATGATTTTTCCTCATAAATATTTCCCCATAAGCCTTATTTATTTTATTCTTAATTAAGGGGCATGTTGGTGCATTTTAAGAAGGCAACAGTAACAGGTTTGGGTTTTTTTATATAGTTGCCCATTCATGCTCTTGAATGACTTCTTCACATAAAATGCATGTTTCATTCAACTGTATTCCACACCTTCAGCTGCTAAGGCTGTGTTATTGTATTACTGATGCCAGGGCCAGATGTTCATCCCCCTTCTAGGAGACGAGTTGGCAAAAGTAAAGCATTTATCTGGCTGGGTCCAAGGGGAGCTCCGTTGCCAGCGAGAGCCCTGCAGTGCCGTGGACAGCCCCAGAGAGCACCGGACGAAGTCTGACCCTGATCGCCACCTGAATTTGCCACTCCTTATCCTGGCTCCTTGGTGGAAAGTGCTTCTCCCACCTGCCTTGTTATCCTGCTCAGCTCCTGGTTTGCCATCTCTCATGAACCAGCTGGTCCTCGCTGTGCCCTGACAGCTGACGTGATTATCCCTGAAAATATGGGTTTGTGACAGGTTGCAGGTTAGCAGCATAACTTCTTCCTGGCTGTGAGTTTTAAACTGTCTTATGCGACAGAGAAGAACTGTAAAAAATTAATATTTATACATGGGATGTAGAGCATCCTTATTCATATAAGTAAAATGGAGTGCTTCGTTTTTCATAAGCTCAGGAAATACCAGTTCAAATATGCATTACAAAATAGCAGCCGGTTGGACTTCTTTTGTTACAGTTTTTGATGAAAAGTGAAATAAGATGAAGTTAAAACAATTTTTTATTGTAAAATATGGTGAAGGTTCAGAATGGACAAAGAAGTTTTGAAGTAGACATTTTTCAAGATGTTTCCTTTCGGAATTTTTCAGAATTTCATTTCTGAGTTCTGAAGCTTCATTTTGACCCATGAAGGGATTTGGTTTTATGTTATTGTTAATATGCTTTACACCATGTCAGTAACAGTGTTCAGTATAATGCTTGAAATATTTTACTTTATTCTTTATGGCTTAATTTCCAATGGGAACAAGTTATCTTTCTGAGAGTTCTGTTGTTTGCCATACTGAAAGAGTTTGACACTTGAATGGGTTTCACCTTCTGGGACTGCTATGACACTGTAAACACTCTGAATACAAAGGAATAGGTAGTTCAACCAACATTAAGTAGAAGATATTCTTACTGATTATGAAAGTGATTCATTTAAGTATTATGCCATATAACTAGCAGTTTATGCACTATTACAAGTGTCCAATCATTAAATAAGATAAAACAAATACAAGCATTTTTAAATGTGAAAATCTTACAAATATACTTTCATCCTGAATTAAAACAAAAAGATGTCAAAGTAACCATATTTCCAGTAAAGCAAGGTTTCACCTAGTTCTATATCCAGATCCAGTTTTTATGGGAAACACAGTGACTTGTGATGCTGGTGGCTGAATCAAATCCTAGAGCAGAAAATTAGCCTACAATGCAAACACTGATTGATTGTACATGACTCTACCCCTTGCACTTTCTGGACCGCTTCCCCTTAACCTTTATTTTCAAGCATTCTGCTCACTTAGCTCTGTATATAAATGCGTGCATGAGTTTGTCCCAAGGGTCAACCTCTTTTCCCTGGAGATTGTGGTTTTTAATTTTTGGCTTGCTCTGTGGTGCCAGCAGGTCCACATCACTCAACCTGTTTGCCACAGGTTATGGACCAAGAGATGGGTTTTTTTGTCCACCGGGGAGAGCTGGAAATGCTCTGTGAAATGAAACTGTGTCCGTGAAACCACTTGTGATGTGAGAGGTATTGTGCAGGACCGGAGCCGGCCACTCACCCATTCCCTGGGGTGCATATTGCTGGTTGGGGAGAGGCAGTCCAGCCTACCGAGAGGAGAGTTGACCTTGTTATTGTGGGTAAAAAGAAACCAGAGTCTTAAGATTTACTTAGGGGAAAAAATGTGCAGTGGAGGGTTTTGATTATTTGCTTTACAGAGTAGCTGAGAGAAAGAACAGTTTGTTTTTAATTTTGCTGTGTTAGGAGAGTACAAACTATGGGAACCGGGAGAGAAAGGGTTTGTGGAGAGGATGATAGCTGTGTGCTCAAGGTGTTTTTCTGGATGCATGTCTCCTCCTAGCCAGGAGCCTTTCAGTTGGATGAGGAGGGGAGTCCTCTCAAGAGGGAGAG